GATTTGCGCCCGAATGGCTGCCAGCTTGGCTCGCGGTCTCTGAAAATGTACCAAGCCTTAAATGCCCTTCGAAGTTGCCGTGCATCGCCTGTTAGTCACTTGAGTTGAGGGAGCAGCAGCAGCGCTGCCCAACTTCGCCAGCCGACACGCCAGAACCGGCCAACGCTCCAGCGGGCGGCCGGGAGCGGGCAGGCGGGGAGGGGAAGGGTGGGGAAGGTCACCTTCGTAGCGGGGCGGGAAAGGGTGGGGGCGGTCGCCTGCGTGGCGTGGCGCGCAGCTCGTCAGGCTGCCGTGCCCTGCCCGGCTGGTCGGAGCACGCCACGCCGTGCTGTGCCGCTTCTCGCCGCGCCCTGCCCATCTTTGCGCTCTTCCGCGTCGAGTGCGTGTCCTACAATGAGTGCGTCTTGTTGCCCAATCCAGTAGGGCTCCGGCTCCAGGACCAGACTGTCGAGTGTACTCGCCCTTTCATGTCAAGAACCTCCCTCGGACTGTCTGAGAGGCAACTTAAACTGCTGGAAACCCGGTGTGGATGTGAGGTTGTCAAAATATGCCAGACTCACTTTAAACAATTCTGGACAATGTATGAATTTAGACAGACGAGTTGTTGTGATCCATTTAAAGTCCATGGGACCGTGAAAAAGAAGAAAGGGCTTCGTCGGATTAGTGCAGCGCTTCAGGACGCGTGCAGTGAAACAATTCCCCGTGTGATGGAGGGAAATAAACTTTGCACCGTATGTAGACAGTCGATTTCTCGCAAGCTGTCTACCCCCGTGTTCGGAGAAAGTACTACACCGACGGACGTTCCGAAGTCTCCAGCCGCCAAAAGAAGCCCCTTGCCATGTGCGCCTGGGTTCGTGACAACCCCTCATGGCACGCAGCGGCCAGTAGGGTGGAGTGAAAACCTGGGATCTTAAAAGTCGACATGAATTATTGTACTTCAAGATATCCTAAGACTAGCTGCAGGGTCGATTTGGAACCATCGAAGGCCCTTAGACTAGGGTAGAGTGAAAATCTGGGATCTTAAAAGTCGACATGAATTATTGTGCTTCAAGATATCCTAAGACTAGCTGCAGGGTTGATTTGGAACCATCGAAGGCCCTTAGACTCTTGAAAAGGGCCTTAAGTTAGGTCTGCAGGGCTAAAACACCACTTTTTGACCTCCAGGGGTCAGTCTAGGGGTCATCCGGGAAACGGCTATCTCTTAAAAGGTGCGGAAAACATCCAAATAAGTACCCACGAAGTTAGAACCCGCTGCGCCATCGTCTTCAGCCTGGCCTTTCGACTTTTGTGTCCAAAAAACGCTCTTTTTCATTACCTGAAAAAGTGTTTTTCGCTCATATCTTCAGAACCATCGGTCTAACAGAAAAAAATAATAAAATGAAATCGTCTTGTCTTGTCGAGATGCATCGGGCACATCTTCTGTTGCCATCCAACCAATAAAACTTTTTAGATTTGTTTTCTTTATGTTGTGCTAGCAAGCAGTTTCATAGCAATGAGCTATTTAGCCGTAACGGGGAACGCAAGGAAGAACATCAAGATGGCCGCCGCGGAGCCAAACAAACCTTCAACTGTTCGCCATTTCGTCTGCTAACGGCGCCCGCGCGCTCTGACGGCCGTGTTTGAGTTCTAGGACACCGTTTAGGCGCACAAGCAGTGTTTTAACGCGATTTTAAAATGTGACGCTATTTTATGAGATGAAATACGGTAAATATTGTTATATTAAGCCTTCTTATGTCTGAAATACGAGAAATATGCCGTGAAATAACC